ACGAGCTGATAAACCAGCTTTGGTACATATACACAAAGGAATACTATCCTATCTAATAAAAGAGTAATACGGTAATGGGGGGGGGGGGGTGAACATCACTCTGCAACGCCCACAGCCAATCAGGAGGGGAAATGCAAATTAGTGGAATAAAGATGGCGACGGCTATGGAGCCAGCTGGAGTGGGCAGGAGGCTTGGATCATCCTAGTGATGGAGGAAGCCAAGCTTCCCGCCTGCCTGGGACGGCTGCCAAATAGGGGCCTGTGGCAGCAGCCACAGAGCAGGCCAGAGAGTGCAGGAGGCTTGGGCTGCCCGAGCCAGCCGCTGAGGATAGGTCCTACAAACGGCCCTCAGTCCCTCACCCAGACTGGCCATGCTGGGGGGGCATGGCCAGCCTGCAAACAGCCATCAGCACCTCATCCAGGCTGGCCAGGCCCCCAGCAGGGACCCCCACCCCGAAGGGGGTGTGGCCAGCCTAAAAACAGCCCTCAGCACCTTCCCCAGGCTGGCCACACACCCCCAGTGAGGACCCTCACCCCATGGGGGCATGGCTGGCCTGCAAACCACCACTGGCACCACCCTGATCCAGGACACCCTTCAGGGCAAACCAGCCAGCCCTCACCCATGCACCAGGCTTCTATCTAAACTAATAAAAGGGTAATATGCTAATTAGACTGGGAGACCTTCCAGGAGACCTTCCGGACGTTCTGGACAAAGCCATGGTGGCGGGGCCAAGGTAGAGGCAGTTAGGGGCCAAGAGGGGAGGGAAGTTGTGAGTGATCAGGCCGGGATGGGACGGCAGCTGTGGGTGAGCAGTCTGGGGGGAGGGGCAGTTGGGAGTGAGCAGGCTGGCAGAGGGGGGGCAGTTGGGGTGATCAGGCTGGCAGAGGGACAGTGGGAGGCCAGCAGGTCGGCAGGCAAAGTGGTTAGGAGCAATCAGGCAGGCAGGCGAGCGGTTAGGAGCCAGCAGTTCCGGATTATGACAGGGATGTCCGAGACTGCCAGGATTGCACCTAAACTGGCAGTCGGACATCCCCCAAGGGGTCCCAGACTGGAAAGGATGCAGGCCAGGCTGAGGGATCTCCCCCCGCCCTGTGTACGAATTTTGTGCACTGGGCCATTAGTGTGGCTAACAAAAAAAGGAAGAAATGTATCTTTTGTGACCGCATGGAGGGACTTGGAGAGCATTATGCTAAGTGAAATAAGCCAGTGAAAGACAAATACCATATGATTTCATTCATATGTGGGATCTAATGAACAAAATAAACTAACAAACAAAATAGAAACAGACTCAGAGATAGAGAACAGACTGAAAGCTGTCAGAGGGACAAAGGGGAAAAAGGTAAGGGATTAAGAAAAAAAAAACCACACACATTAAATGCAGACACAGACAACAGTATAGTGATTACCTGAAGGGAACTGGGTTGGGGGAGGTAGAAGAAGGTATACATGGTGATGGTAGTAGGCTTGACTTAAGGTTTTAAACACACAACACAATATACAGATGATGGATATAGAATTGTACATCTGAAACAATTTTATTAACCAATGTTACCCCAATAAATTAAATAAAATTTTAAAAATTATAAATATAAAAAACAAAGTATGCCCACCCTGTGTATTTACAATTGCCAAGATATGGAAGTAACACAAGTGCCCACCAATAGATGGTGAATAAATATGCTGTGGCATTGCCCTGGCTGGTGTGGTTCGCTGAGTGAGCACTGGCCCTATACCGCAAGGTCAAAGGTCAATTCCAGGTCAGGGCACGTGCCTCAGTGTGGGTTCCATCCCTGGTCTAACCCCAGTAGGGGCACTTATGGAAGGCAACCAATCAATGTTTGAAATCTTACCATTTGCAACATTATGGATGGATCTACAGCAGTGGTTCTCAACCTTTCTAACGCCTCGACCCTTTAATTCCTCATGTTGTGGTGACCCCCAACCATAAAATTATTGTCGTTGCTACTGCATAACTGTAATTGTGCTACTGTCATGAATCGTAAAGTAAATACCTGTGTTTTCCGATGGACTTAGGTGACCCTGCTAGCGGTTCTCAACCTGTGGGTCGAGATTCATAACAGCAGCAAAATTACAGTTACGAAGTAGCAACGAAAATAATTTTTTGGTTGGGGCTCACCACAACATGAGGAGCTGTATTAAACGGTCACGGCATTAGAAAGGTTGAGAACCACTGATCTAGAGGGTTTAAGTAAAATAAGTCAATCAGAGAAAGGCAAATACCATATGAGTTCACTTATATATAGACTCTAACAAATAAAATAAACAAAATTGAAACAGACTGAGGCAGGTTACCAGTGAAGAGGGGGATTGGGGGACTGGGTGTAGAAGTACAAATTGGTGGTTACATACTGTCATCATGGGTTGTAAAGCCCAGCATGGGAAATACAGTCAATAACACTGACTAACTGCGGTGCCAGGTGGGCCTGGAAATATTTGGAGACACTTTGTAAAGTCTATGATTGTCTAACCACTGTGCTGTACGCCTGAAATTAATGCAAAATAATACTGAATGTAAACTGTAATTGGAAAATAAAATGTAAAAGAGTAGCAAAAAAATTAAGTTGGTCATACTTCTTGGATAAGTATAATTTTAAAAAACAACAGAAAATAACAAGTGTTGGCAAGTATGTAAAGAAATTTGGAACTTGTGCATTGCTGGTGGGAATATAAAATGGTATAGCCGCTGGGAAAGTAGTTTGGCAGTTCCTCAAAAGGTTACATAGAAAACTACTATTCCACATTTTCCACTCCTCAGCATACCAGGTGCACGTTATTAATGCGGATGGACCTTTTACCAGTTAATAATGCAGATTTATAATCAAAGAACACATGATAATTTTAAGAGAAACATCAAAAGCCCATTATTCAAAGTAATGTCCATCGGTACACATTTACCCCGTCTTTCAGATAATTTGTGGGTACCGCTACAATAGAACTTTTCTTGTTTTGAGGCAAACCATTCAGAGACCCCATTTTCCACTTCTTTGTACGTTTTGAAGTGCTGCTCAGACAGTGCGTGTGCCATCAATCGGAGCACGTGGTCATCTGGTGAATGTGGCGGGTGGGGTAATACTTCCCAGGCAGGATCTTCTAACGTGTCTTTAACTGGTTTTGAAGTGTGTGATGGTGCGTCATCATGAAGCAAAATTACTTTGCAGTGTCTTGTCACGTTCTGGTCGTTTCATGATCAAAGTGTGGTTCAAATTGATTATTTGTTGTCAGGAGCGCTCAGTATTAACGGTTTCACCTGGTTTTAGAAGCTCATAATACACCACACCTTCCTGATCCCGCCAAACGCATAGCATTGTCCTCTTTCCGAAGCAAACTGGCCTTGCAGTCGATGTTGATGGTTGACCTGGATCAACCCATGGTTTTGTGCATTAGGGATTCTCAAAATAAAGCCACTTTTCATCTCCAGTCACAATTTGATGCAAAAAATACTTTCTTTTGTGCCGTTGAAGCAACATTTTGCTGATGACTTTTCTTCGGTTTTCCATTTGTGTTTTGTTTGGTTGATGTGGCACCCATTTTTCTTCCTTTAAAATATTTCCCATTGCTTGTAAACGATTGAAAATTGTTTGCTGAGCAATGTTTAATCTTTCTGCAAGTTGTTTTTGAGTATGACATGCATCTTCATCCAATAATGCTTGTAATTGTTGGTCTTCCAACTTTTTTGGTTGAGCTGGACATTCTTTGTCTTCCACATCGAAATCATCACTTTTAAAGCATATAAACCATCATTCACAAGTATCTTGAGATGGAGCATGTTCACCACAAGCTTCCTGAAGTATAATTAAAACTTCCTGCAAACATTCTTTTTTTTGGCACAAAATTTGATATTTTTAAGCATAAAAATATCTAGGATGTTAACATCTTCAGCAAATTTGACATATGAAGTTTTGAAGCTTGCTGTGAATACAACAAAACAGCATACATATCAAATCGCATATATATCAACATATGTGTAACTCCATCTATTGAAAAAAAACGGCATTATTAACCGGTACACCTGGTGTGTGTGTGTGTGTGTGTGTGTGTGTGTGTGTGTGTGTATCGAAAGCAGGGACTCAAACAGTAGCATTCACAATAGCCAGAAAGTAAAAACAACTATAGTGTCCATCAACAAATAAATGGATAAAAAAATGTGGTGTACACATACAATGGAATACTTTTTTGGCCATAAAAAGTGATGAAATTTTAAAAAATATTTTAATTAATTTTTAGAGAGAGAGGAAGGGAAAGGGAGAGAAACATCAATGTGAGAATGAAACTGATTGGTTGCCTCCCCTGTCGGGGACTGAGCCCGCAACCCAGGTATGTGCCCTGACTGGGAAGCAAACGGCAACCTTATGGTGCGTGGGACAACGTGAGCACACAGGCAGGTAAAAGCATGAAGCTGTGATACACGCTACAGTATGGATGAACTTTTAAAACATTATGCTTAGTGAAGTAGCCAGGCACAAAGGACAAATATTGTCTTTTTCTACTTACATGAGGTATCTAGAACAGGCAGATTCAGAGACAGAAAGTAGGACAGAGATTTCCAGCGGCTGGGGAAGGGGGGTGAGAATGGATTCATGTTTAATGGATACAAATTTTGTCAGGGATGATGCAACGGTTTTGATAATTACCTATAGTGGTGGTAATTACATACATTTTAAGTGTATTTAATGCCACTGAGTGGTACACTAACAAATGGGTAAAGTGATAAACACTGTGTTATATCTATTTTTCCATAATTAAAATTTCAGAGCTCATCACTAACCTGCCCTCGTCCCGCCAACAGAAGAGCCGGGCAGGTGCCAGCGGGTGAAGGGGAGGGAGCGGTGCTAGCAGGCGGCGGGGGGCCTGGCCACGGCAGCCCTGCCGGCCGGCGGCGGAGCAGCTGCTGTGGTGGCCTGTGGCCACCTGCCCAGGGGCCATGTCTCGGCAGAGGACGGACTGACCCTTTGCCCAGAAGACGCACCCGCGGGCTCACCTCGGAGGCCCGCGAAGCGGCGAGTTCCCTGGCGAGCTGCTCCAGAGCCTCTCTGTTCCGGCCGCAGAGCACCAGCTTCGCGCCCGCGGCGTGGAAGACCTTGGCACACTCTGGAAGGAGAGAACCCGAGGTCTGAGGCAATTCAGTGCCTGCTTCCCCGTGCAGCTCCCGCTTCCCCCATGTCCCATAACCTGTATCGTTTCTACACGCACAGAGCATGTATGTGCTAGCCCCAGTCACAGGCCGGGAGCCTTCCAGTGATGAAGGAGCCCCAGGGAGCTCGCATCGGGCTGGACAGGCATCTCAGGCCGAGGGGAGGCCAGGTGCTGTGCTCAGAGCTTCATCCTGTCTGTGGCTCTGAGACAGCTCTGAGCTCACCCTGTTCACAACGGGGGGAGCTCAGCAAGGTGATCCAGCAGTGCACGCTATGTGCTGTGCGAGTCTAGGCCTATGTTCTAGCCCAACCCAAGTGCTGTCCAAATCCTTTTAATGCAACGGCCACACATCTACCAGGGCCTAGACCCGCACAGCATGTAGCGTGCACTGCCGGATCGACCTTGCTGAGCTCCCTCCGTTGTGAACGGGGTGAGCTCACAGCTTTCTCAGAGCTACAGATGGGATGAAGTTCTGAGCACAGCACCTGGCAAGTGTGTCAGCCAGGCTGGCCTCCCCTCGCCCGGAGATGCCCGTCCAGCCCTGATGCGACAGAGGGGGCTGGCCATCTGAACCTGTGCCAGGACCCAGTATTCTGACGCACATCCTTGCTGGTGGATAATTAGCTCCATTCTTCTCTGGGAGGCCTGTCCTGCCTTGCGGAACCCGTTTTCCGGAGGACTCCCATTTCAGAGGCCATAAACCATGAACCATATGTGACTCCCAGAGGGGGTGTCAGCACAGTCACCAGCCAGCCAGGCCTCAAGCTGTAACCTCACTGCCCCCATCCCAACCCACGGGGGCTGCAAAGCTCACGAAAAGCCCGGAAGCCTGGTCCATGTCGGGGACAAAGAGGCTAAGGAGACGAAGGAAGGCTTCCTCCATCTCATCACTCAGGCTCTGGAGGCTGGTGCGCCTGCAGTTCGGCACTAACAGTTCTTCCTGGCCCCGCTGAGTGCCCGCTGATCGTTCTCCCGTGCCGCCTGGCAGCTTGGCTGCAACACCACCTGGTGCCCTGGCCAGGAAATCTGTCACGCTGCCCACTTAGGGCACCGGCGGTAAGGGCTGATGGTCGGGTCCGTTCACCCTTTCTAGAACCAGGCATCTGACCAGTGAGTTTTCCCCGGGGACCAGTCCGAGCCCAGGCCTCTCTTTCGGGACAGAAGCAGCAGCTGATCACCACTTAGGCAATTTACTTGCCTCAGTTCAGGGGCTTTCCGTGGGTGGAAGCCTAAGCTCGGACTGGCTGGTGTGTGAACTGAGTGTGAGAGCCTGTGCGGAGCGAAAGCTCCCGTGTTGTCCTGTGTCTATTACCCGGGAGGGATTACCCAGGTTAACTGCAAACATGGGAGTATTCCTCCACACCCACTGTCTTAGACTGTGTGCTAAAGAATCTAGGGAAGGTGTTCCTGGGGGCTGGCGGGGAGTCAGTCCCCTGGAAGTGGAGAAAGCCGTGTGAAACAGACGGGCCATCTTTGGAGTAGGATGGCCACGGAGGGCACCCTGGATGTCCCTACAATCAGGAATGCTTACAGTTACAACGGGAGGCCCAGGTCATCCCAACCAGCTCCCCTGCATTGACCAGCGGCTGGAAATAGCTCAGCTCAAGCCACCTTGGATCCGGCTCTGCATGCACACGCAGGGCAGAGGGAGGTTTCAGTGGCAGGAGAACAGAGACGGGCAGGAGCAGAGAGGCAGGCCCCTCAGAGAGAATAAGCCACCTGTCTGCAGGAAGCCCTGCCAGTGTTACCACCTCCATGTGTGCGGTCAGGGAAGCTCAGATTCACAGCACCTGGCAAGTGTGTCAGCCAGGCTGGCCTCCCCTCGCCCGGAGATACCCGTCCAGCCCTGATGCGACAAAGGGGGCTGGCCATCTGAACCTGTGCCAGGACCCAGTATTCTGACGCACATCCTTGCTGGTCAGAATTCTGACGCCCCCTTCTCTCCCCAACTGGACTCTCCAGAGCCTGTTGCACTCAGCTGACCAGAGGCCCAGGCCACCCCCAGCCTTCCAGATGCCTCTCTGGGAGACTCAGGGTCCCCAAGTGCTTGGAGAAGATGGGACCCTGCAAGAGGGGGGAGCGGTCTTTTACTACCAGCCTTCACCATGTCTGATCACCTGAACTGGGAACATCACAGTCCTGTTTATTCTGAAAAATCTCTGGCAGGTAGACCTCCTAGAGTCAGTTTCCAGACCCTTAAACCCACTTGGGTTGACTGCAAGCAGCTCCTTCTCACACTTTTTAACACTGAGGAACGCATGAGAATAGTAATGGAAGCTCAGAAATGGCTCCAGACCCAGCCCCGGCGGGGAAATTAGACACAAACGGAGAGACCAGGGAGACTTCCCAGGTGATGAGCCCAGATGGGACCTGAGCTCAGAAGACGGAAGGGCCAGGCTAGAGAGATAGCGACTGGCCTTCCTCTAGGGCAACTGGCCTTCCTCTCAACCTTTCTACTGCCGCGACCCTCACACAGCTCTTCAGGTGGGGGCCCCAACCATAACATTATTTTCGTTGCTACTTCCTAACTGTAATTTTGCTACTGATATGAATCGTAATGTAAATATCTGTGTTTTCCGATGGCCTTAGACAACCCAGCTAGCAGTTCTCAACCTGTGGGTCGTGACCATCGGAAAACACAGATATTTACATTACGATTCATTAACAGTAACAAAATCACCATTATGAAGTATTAACGAAGATAATGTTATGGGTGGGGTCGCCACAACATGAGGAGCTGTATGAAAGGGTCACAGGCAGCGTTAGGAAGGTGGAGTCCTGCAAGGGACTCAGGGCCAAGGCCAAGAAGCCCACAAACATGGCCAAGACCTCCAAGGTCTTCCAGAAACCCAATGGAAGTCCAGCAGCCTTCTCTGCGGACTCTGAGGCATATCGGATCTAGACTCCTTTTGATCCTGAAGCCCAGAAAATCAATCTATGTCAGTGCAGCCCTTGTAGGTCAGGCTCAGCCCAATATAAGGAGAAAGCCAAAGAAGCTCAAAGGCTTTGTGGGAAAAACGCAGCCAAGCTGTTAGAATAGCCAACAGGGTTTCATCAGCGGAGACATATCAGAAAGACAAGAAAGGGAAACAAGGACCCAGGCCAGTGGGAAGGAGGACAAACCTCAAGCAGGATCAGTGTGCCTACTTAAGGAACCTGGACACTGGGAGAATGAATGTCCAAACCACCAGAAAGGGAAGTAAGGGTCGTCCAACCCACCCAGCCGCTACCGAGACATCTCATCGGGCGGCTGCCGACTCCAACAGGACAGGACAGGCTCTTTCCAACCGGGCCCCCGCGAGCCCAGGGTCAGAATGAAAACTGGGCCAGACTGTGGACTTTATGGTCGATACTCAGAAGGGAGCTCCTCTCTCAGGAAAGGTCACCATTATCAGAGCTACCAGGGACCAGACCCACAGACCATTCTGCCGCCTTCGCCAGTGCCAACTTGGCGGCCACCACGTAACTCAAGAATTCCTGTACTACTTTTAGCCAAGATGGGGGCAGAGCTCACCTTTGCCCCAGATGGCTGGGCACAGCTGCGCCTAGCTGAGGAGGCCTCTCCAATGATGCTGTCCTTAGCAGTGCCGGGGGAGATGGAGACTTTATGCCTTCCAGTCGAAGGCCTCACTTTAGAGCCTGAATTAGAGGAAGAATTCCCACTGGTCTGGGCAGAAGGAAATCCCCCTGGCCTGGCCAAGCACCATGCCCCCATACTAACTGACTTAAGCCTGGGGCACAGCCTGTTAAAATCCGCCAATATCCAATTCCAAGGGAAGCGCCTAGGAATCCAGGTCCACTGAGACCGGCTGCTTCAATGGGGATTCTTAAACGGTATTCGTCCCCATGGAAGAGCCTTCTTGCCTGTCAAAAAGCCTGGGACTAAGGACTATCACCCGGTGCAGGACCTGCAGGCTGTTATAACCCCTACACTCTTCTGGGACTCATCCCATCAGGTTTACATGCCTAGAACTGAAAGATGCCTTTTTCTGCCTTCAACTGGCACCCTGCCGTCAGCCCGTTTGCCTTTGAGTGGGAAAACCCAACTACGGGGGCCAAGGAGCAGTTCACCTGGACCAGACTGCCACAGGGTTCAAGAGCTCCCCTCTCTCTAGTGGAGCACTGGCATCTGATCTGTCCAAATCCCCAGGACAGGACTTGGGGTGCATTCTACTCCAATATATTAACGACCTCCTATTGGCCAGCTCCACGCGAGCTCAGTGCTGGGAAGGGACAAGAGCCCTTCTCAGACTCTTAATGGAAACAGGTTACCGGATGTCCAAGAGAGAGGCACAAATCTGCCAGAGAGAAGTCAAGTACCTAGGCTTCCGGATCACCTGAGGGAAACGAAGGCTAGGAACTGAAAGAAAGCAGGCAGTATGCCCATCCCAGTCCCCAGCCCCGGCGGCAGATTTGGGAATTCCTGGGAGCGGCAGGGTCTTGTTGACTTTGGATTCCAAGGTTTTCAGTCCTAGCTAAGCGCCTCTCTGAGGCTTTAAAAGGACAGAGGCACCCACTTACTGCGATCCTGCGCAGGAAAAGGCCTCCACCTCCATTAAGACAAAGCTCCCCAGGCCCAGCACCAGGGCTCCCGGATGTGACATGAGACTAACCTGTTCGTTCATAAGAACAAGGTAGCCCCGGAGTTCTGACTCAGGAGTCTGGACCTCGGCAAAGACCAGTAGCCTCTCCTCCAAGCAGGTTGACCCGGTTGCCTCCAGGTGGCCCCCTGTCTCAGGGCCCTTGCAGCCATGGCAGTATTGGTCAAAGAAGCAGATAAGCTTAACCTGGGACAAAACTTAAATATTAAAGTACCTCATGCTGTTGTCCCCCTAATGGAAGCTAGGGGGCAGAACTGGCTAACTCATGCTCGAATGACTCAATACCAAGGGCTTCTACGCGAAAATCCACAGGTATGATTAGAAGCAGTGAGAATTCTTAATCCTGCCACCTTC